GCAAAATTAACAAACATTTTTAATTTTTTGCTTTTTTATCAATAGATCCTAAGTGTAAAATGAGCTTTTTAAATGTGAATAGCCTTATTAAAAATTGTTACAGTTGTCCTACTCAAGAAAGGCTAGCCACGTGCTTTAAGACAAGGAACAGACTACATGGATATATGATCAAAACTCTAATTTTCAGCCAGACATGTTGGTGCATGGCTATAATACCAGCACTCAGGAAGCTGAAACAGGAGGATTACTGGTTCCATACTAGTCTGCAGGCATAGTGAGATTTGTCTCAAGTTTTTAAAAAAGAAAATGTACCCAATTTAAGGAACGAATTAAATTTGATACAGTATTATTAATAACCAGTTAAGATGTACAAAAATACTTTTAACAGAAGGAGAGACATGGAAGGGAGACATGGAGGAAAACATTAGTAGTGAGAACATTACGTTGCTATTTTAATTGCATGTACCATCTCTTTTAATTTTATCAATAGACTTATACTGTTATAGGTTCTATCTCTCTCTATTGTACTGCTAGGGAAAGTAATGACCAGAAACCGTCTAGGATAACTAATTAATGATGGGCAAAGATAATGTTTGAACAGAGACTGCCTCTAAAATAGAGGTAGTTCTTGAAATTGCAGAGATACAACTTTCACAGGTGCAGTATGATCTCCATTATTCTAAAAGCTTTTCCTACTATCCTTTGGGGTCTCAAGTGGCTTATTTATTAATCCAGAAAAATCTGAAAAGCTTAACAAATTTCATAAAAATCTGCAGCATGTTAAAATCTGGCAAAAGGAGGAATTAAAAACAGAAAAGTGATGTTGATTTAGGGATGGTTGAAAGTACATTAATTATGTCCTGCAATTGAAGATGGACTGGGGCTTCAGAGCAAAGTATGCCCATGAAATTCATGCGAAAATAGATTCTGAAATGGGAAGGCTTTGAGGATTTAAAAAGAGAGTAAGAACAGTGACATTTACTGAGCTGTAATTTTGTTGCAGATGATAAAAACAAGCAAACAAACAAACACTGACACATTCTGTAGAAATGAAATGGCATGCAGTTGAAGAATGGATCCTTAATCACGGCAAAGAATAACCTAGAGGCTAATGGTAAGACGGGAAATGGAGGTGGGCCCACAAGTCCTAATCAAACTATATGAAGTGTCTTCAGTGTTGAGAAGGTGACTGTATTTAAAGTACTCAGCAATTTCCATCTAATATGTGACATTGAATAATTTATTGTAATTTTCAGACATATGTCTTCATTGTGTTATATGGAAATGATATAGTGTATGATGGGAAGATTAAAAGAAGAAAAGTTTTGAATCCAAAAGCAAGTCTTTAGCTTAAATGTATACACATCTATATGTATATATATATATATATATATGTGTGTGTGTGTGTGTGTGTGTGTGTGTGTGTGTGTGTATATATATATATATATATATACATGTTTATATATAGAAATCTTTTGAATATATTCACAAGATTCAAAATGATAAACAGTACCATCCTTTAGATCAACTATCCATTTCATTTCCTAGAGATAATGAACTAGTGCTTATAATTTTAAGATCTGAGATATATGTGAGCAAAAACATAAAAAAGACGGCATGCATGCGTAAGAATAATCTCTTTTTGCACAGATGTTGGCTTGCCATTCTCATTTACTTTCCCACTTATTATTTCTTGACGATCTTTGCATAGTATTGTACAGGAAAATATCTTATTTCTTTTGCTAATGGAATCCCATCATTGCCATGTTACTTCTTTGTGGAAATTTCAATTGTTTCCTCATATACTACGAAAAATAATATTTTAATGAATCAATTTGTATCGACATCAATTTTCATATGCACCAATATATTTGTGTGATAATTATGGAGGATTAAATCTGTAGTCAATCATTCTAAATGATGTAAATTTGACAAGCTTTGCCATATAGTAAGAGGTAGTAGGGTATTTCTCTTTTTGGATTCTCTGGGATTTTGGCCACTAAATTTCTTAACCTTTTCAGGCAATGTCTCTGTATCTCTATACTTATTTATTTAAATACATGTGTAAAGAATTTACACATACATCTTTGTAACCAATTCATCTTATTTGTTCTTTTTTTCTGGAGAGTCCTGGGACTTGAATTCAGGCCTGAGCACTGTACCTGAGCTTCCTTTGCTCAAGGTTAGCACTCTTAACAACTGAGCCACAGCACCACTTTTGACTTTTTCTGTTTATGTGGTACTGAGGAATCGAACCCAGGGCTTCATTCATGCCAGGCAAATACTCTACCACTAGGCCACAGTCTCAGCTCTGTAACCAATTCATATAACAGAAGTGTAAAGAACTAAATGGGATGTGTCAGGTGTATAGTGATAATTTATAGTCATAATTTATATTTATATTTACATAAGTTATACATGATACTCATATTCATTATATATGATATACAAATACATATTGTTTTCTTCTAGTACATGCTTTTAAACAAATATATTCTTACATGTGGAATTTGTAGGTCAAAATAATATGCTTTTGCCTGTAAAGTAAAAGGAAGGTATTTGGTATTTTATTATATTGCTTATTTTCTATTAAGGCATTCTAGTTTATATTTTGATCTTTGATCATAGATGATATTCATTATTTCACTTTTGTGTTTCATTGTGTTGGTTATTGATCCATGGGAATTCCAATAACATAGTACATGTTGCATGAGAAAAATTACTGCAAATACACTATAGCTAACCAAAAATATAAATACAGCCCTTAAGAAATGATGAAAAACAGAGGAGGGGGTGCCAGAAATATCAGTGAATAAGCACATAGGTAGATGCATTAATAAAGTTTGACTATCCAAATTTGTATCATGTAAAGGCTGAAGAAATTTTACAAAGACATATTGTTAGGAAAGTCTTAACACATTATCTCAGTAAAAAAATGGGAGTATTTATAGAGAAATGAAAGAGTGAATGTATTCTATTTTATTTTCATTTAGGTTTAAGGAGGTTAGAGAGTTCCCTAGTGGATATAACATTTCTTTTTTATAAGCAAAACTATTGAATCTTAAATCTATATCATAAGTGCTAGCTTGAAACATCAAGTATTTTGAGTGTCTTTAGTAAGCTAAAAGTTTAAGGGAGAAATGAAATAAAGCATTTTGCTTTTATGTAATGAAAGTAGAAAAAAGATTTAAGGCCAGATGCCAGTGGTTTACACCTGTAATCCTATCTACCAAGGAGGCTGAGATCTGATTATCATGGTTCAAAACCAGCCTGGACAGGAAAGTCCCCGTGAGACTCTTATCTCCAATTAAGTACTAGAAAACCAGAAGTGGCGCTGTGGCTCACGTGGTAGAGCACTAGCCTTGAGCTGAAGAGCTGAGGGACGTGCCCAGGCCCAGAGTTCAAGCCCCACAGCCTACAAAAAAAAAGGTTGAAAAAAGTTTAAAGATACTTACAAAGGCAGAAACTTAAGTTAAACCAGGTGTGCTGGCATACCTATAATCCCTTCATAAGGCATGCAGAAGTAGGATTTTGAGTTGAAGACCAATGTAGCCTACATTGTGAGGTCTTGTCTCAATACAACAAAAACCTTAACTAATAAACATGCACATACAAAAGTAGAAAGGACAAGTCTGCCACAAATCTATTCTAGTTGTTGTTTGATGGCTTTGAGACAAAGTTTCACTATGTAGTTCAGGCTGGCTTCAAACTTGTGATCTTCAGCTTTTAGAGTACCGAAATTATAGGTATATGCCACCATACCTGACTAAATATGCTTTATATTTAAAAGACAAAAGCTATATAGAAAACTCTCTGTAAGTCAAAATAAAGAAAATAACCTGACGTATATGGTAAGCAACAAGAATTGTAAGGATTTTGTTCAAGTTAATGACTAAACGTTGCCAGAAAAACACACTGATTTCCTAGCATAGTACAAAGCATCAGATCCACTGCTTTCTATTGAACTTGTCTCTTGTAAACAACTAATTTTTTGCCTGATACTTCCTGACCATATTTGCAATTGGCTGCTAAGAGCTTGAATTCTGCAGACATCTTGCCAAGGTTTAAGTGTAACTGTGGCATTTTTTTTCTTAGTTTTGTGACTTTCACTTTAAACAAATTGTCTTATTTTTATGTGCCTTAATTTCCCCCTACATATAATAGGGACAATGCAGCTAATAATAGTAGTAATTACCTCACAGATTTTCTATTCAGACTGAATTGGGGGAAATAAGTAGAGGTTTGTACAGAAAAAGGCTTTCATCTTTTGGTTTTATTAATTTATTCAAGTCAATAGGTTTGAGCATCAGTCTCTGTGTCTGCATTGTTCTAGCTGTTGGAATCATGGAAGCAAACAGGAAAAGAACCTGCTCCAATTCTACTGGGTGGAAAAGCAATAAATACAATAGTATAATTGCAAGGAATGACGGTAGCATTTTTTTGTTGTGGTGATTTATAGCCAATAAAAGTGATTTAAAAAGTTATAGATAATGTAATTCTCATTTTTAATCCTAATTCTACTTTGTATACATTTTTTATGTATATGGGGAAAAAAAGCTTAGGAATCTTCAAGAATGACCTTGATTTGAATCTTAGCTTTGCTCAATGGTATTTGGTATTGGCCTAGTTTAGGTAAGAGCTTCGTTTTAATTGACTCATGTATAAAATGTGGATGATAATAGACTCCTAGAATTATGGTGAGTTTAAATGACATAAAGAGGACACTGGTTACATCAAATCATTGTGACCAAGGTAAGAGTGAAGTGGGAAGGTATTAGTAAGGGTATTTCTCCAGTGAGGCATACATACTTCACTGTAGGTCACTACTGCTTAATAAATACCTTAGAAGTCATTGCACATCACTATAAATATCCTACTTCATATATGATATAATGAAGCTACAACTGGGAATTAGCTGACTCTTGATTTGTATACGATGGAGGAAACTGAAGTTTAGCCTTTAAGTTCCAACCCACTGAGAACAGCTGAGCTGTGAACAGATGCAGCCCATCAGCAATTCTTCAGCCCTTCCTGTTACTCACTGGGGCAGCCATCCGAAGTGGGCTATACACCAGCTCAGAACGCTGGATGCATTTGTAACCGAGTCTCCCGTTTTCCGTCTGTACTTTCTTTCTTATTTCTTCTTTTTTGGCTTTCAGTTTTTTAGTTTCTTTTTTTAGGAAGTTTTTTAGTTTCTTTTTTAACCTATAAAAGTCTGGCACTTCTGCATTGGTATACCTTTGAAAGCAATCCTAGTAAAATCCATGCTCTTTCTTACAGGTAAAACAGAGGCAGTAAGATAGAATGGAAAAACAAAACCATTCCGGAAGAATTTTTTTCTCAAGAGACTGTATGGTTACCCAAAGCTTGAGCTACATTTTGTTGTGCTCTTCTTAGCAATGTATGTAGTCATCCTTCTGGGTAATGGCACTCTTATTATTATCAGCATTTTGGACTCTCGCCTTCACACCTCTTTCTGGGGAACCTCTCATTCTTGGACATCTGTTTTACTACTTCTTCCATTCCTTTCATACTGGGGAGCTTCCTCTCAGAGAAAAAGACCATCTCCTTAGGCTGTGCCATGCAGACGTTCCTTAGCTTGGCCACGGGCACAACAGAATGTGTGCTGTTGGGCATGATGGCCTTGGATCACTACGTGGCCATCTGCTACCCTCTGCGACACCCCGTCATCATGAGCAAGGATTCCTATGTGTCCATGGCAGCTGGGTCCTGGCTGGCAGGGGCTGTCAACTCTGCAGTGCAAATTGCAGGTGTGGCCCACCTGCGTTTCTGCAGGAATGTTGTCAATCATTTCCTCTGCGAAATTCTGGCTGACATGAAATTGGCCTGTGTTGATGTCTCAGGCAATATGTTCATCACACTTGTGGCCATGACATTTCTCATACTGACACCATTGTTATTAATCATGATCTCTTATACATTGATCATTTTCAGAATCCTGAAGGTTCAGTCCTCTGAGGGGGAGGAGGAAGGCCTTCTCGACCTGCTCAGCTCACCTCACTGCGGTAATAATATTTTATGGGACTATCCTCTTCATGTACATGAAGCCCAAGTCTAAAGACACACTGAATTCAGATGACATGGATGCTACAGATGCTATATTCTATGGAGTGAAGACTCCCATAATAAATCTTACGATCTATAGTCTTAGGAATAAGGATGTGAAGGAAGCAGTAAAACACTTATGGAGGAGAATAACCTTTATGAAATAAGTGAAAAAAGTCAGATCATTTTATAATCACAGTGTGGAAATAGTTTAGTGAAACCAAAACATGTAGATAATACATTCTTGATATTTTAAATTCATCACACCAAGCTCCCAAAGTCCACAGTCTTTCTCTTTGATGTAGTGAATGATGAAAATAGACTTTCATGGCACATTGAAGAATTATTTTTAATAGAGAGATTTTCAAATAGAAGATTCCATGCAACTATAACCCCTTTGTACAGTATCTTTACAATGAAAAGTATATTAAAAAATTTACAATCCTTAACAGAAAGAACAGTGATGGAGGAATATCAATACCAAATTTCAAACTCTACTACAAAGCCATAGTAATCAAGACATCTTGGTACTGGCAAAAGAAGAGACCTCAGGACCAATGGAATAGAATTGAAAACCCAGAAATGAACCTACAGACCTATAGCCACCTAATCTTCAATAAGGGAGCTAAAAAAATAGAATGAAAGAAAGACAGCCTCTTCAGTAAATGGTGCTGGTGAAATTGGTTAATCACTTGTAGAAAACTAAAGCTAGATCCTTATATATCACCCTGCACCAAAATCAACTCCAAATGGATCAAAGACCTCGGAGTCAAAGTAGAAACCCTGAAAACATTACAGGATGGAATAGGAGAAACCCTAGGTCTCCTTGGCACAGGCCGAAATTTTCCTAATAGAGATCCCAAAACACAACAAATCAAAGAAAGGTTGGACAAATGGGATTGCATGAAATTGCAGAGCTTCTGCATGGCAAAGGACATAGCTAGCACGATCAATAGAAAGCCCACGGATTGGGAGAAGATCTTCACTATCCATACAATGGACAAGGGTCTCATATCTAAAATATACCTGTATCTCAAAAAATTAAATCCCTCAACAACAAATCCTCAAAGACAACTGCCCAATAAATTAGTGGGCGAAAGACTTAAAGAGAAACTTCTCTGAGGAAGAAATAAGAATGGCCAATAGACACATGAAGAAATGCTCAACCTCCCTAGCCATAAAAGAAATGCAAATCAAAACAACATTGAGATACCACCTCACCCCAGTTAGAATTGCTATAATCAAGAACTCTAATAACAACAGATGCTGGAGGGGATGTGGACAGAAGGGAACCCTACTGCATTGTTGGTGGGAGTGTAAACTTGTTCAACCACTTTGGAAAGTAGTATAGAGGTTCCTCAAAAAACTCTACATAGAGCTCCCTTATGACCCAGCAATCCCACTTTTGGGCATTTACCCAAAGGATCACAAACAAGACCATACTGAAGCTACCAACACAACTATGTTTATTGCAGCATTATTTACCATAGCTAAGGCATGGAACCAACCCAGATGCCCCTCAGTAGACGAATGGATCATGAAAATGTGATATATATACACAATGGATTTCTATGCCTCCGTCAGAAAGAATGACATTGCCCCATTTGTTAGGAAATGGAAAGACTTGGAAAAAAATTCTATTAAGTGAAGTAAGCCAGGTCCAAAGAAACATAGGTCCCTTGGTTTCCCTTATTTGCAATAACTAGTGTATATCTGAGACAAGCAGAAATGGTCAGATAAGATGATGTTAAGTGAAATGAACCCCAAGATAAGAACACAAGTGGTTTTTTCTTTCTTGCTATTGCTTCTAATGTATTTATAAGGTACCACGTGATTTTTTTTTGTTACTTTGTATGTCCCTCCCCCACGGTATAACCCCTGTTTTCACTGTATTGATGTTCATATAATTTGGGGAGGGGAAGGGAAAAATTGTTTAAATGGGGATACAAGTTGAGCCATTGCGACAATGAGATGTACAAAATACTATGTTGAAAAATGAACTTTACAATTTAGGTGGGAGGGAGGGGGAGTGTAGTTGTGGAGATGGGAGGATAGGGATGGTGGGAGATAAAGGAGGAGGCAACAATGCTTGATAAGAAATGTACTCATTGTATATGGGCTGGGAAGGTGGCTCAGTGGTAGAGCGCTTGCCTTGCATGCATGAGGCCCTGGGATCGATTCCTCAGCATCACATAAGCAGGAAAAAAATAAAAAGCTGGAAGTGGTGCTGTAGCTCAAGTGGTAGAGTGCTAGCCTTGAGCTGAAAAGCTGAGGGATAGCGCCCAGGCCCAGAGTTCAGGCCTCACAACCAGACCCCCCCCCAAAAAAAAAAAAAAAGAAAAAAAGAAATGTACTTATTACCTCCCTCATGTAATTGCAACCCCTTTGTACATATTTTCCTAATAAAAATCTTATTAAAATATTTCCTTCCTTCCTTCCTTCCTTCCCTTCTTCAAAGATTCTCTCACTTTCTGTGTATTGTCTCTTTACTAAGTTGATCCCACTGTTGTAATAAAGATTTTCAGTATGATGTAATTGCTTTAATAATGTTTGCTTTTATTTCTAGAGCCACTAGTGTCCGATTCGTGATATCTTAGCCTGTGCCAATACCTTGAAGGCTTTTCCCCTGGTAGTTTCAAAATTTCAGGCATTACATTAATGTCTTTGGTAATTGAGTTTATGTCTGCACACAGTAAGAGACTGGGATCTAGTTTAATCTTTCTGTGGGTGGATATCCAGTTTTCCAAGCACCATTTGTGGTAGAGGTTCTTTCTCTAATGTATGTTTTGGCTACTTTGTTGAGAATCAGATACCTGCAAATGCATGGGTTTATACCTAGATCCACTATTCTGTAACACTGCCCTACATATCTCTATATTTATTCCACTGCCATTCCGTTTTTGTAATAGTGTCTAGAATAGAATAATTTGTGATTGGATTTTATGATGCCTCCAGCATTGCTTCTTCTTTTATTTAACTTTTTTTGATTGAAATTCTTTTTGGCTATTTGGAGTCTTTTGTGCTTCTAAATAGAGTTTAGAATCATGTGTTTCTAATATTGTGGTGAATGTTACCGAAATGTTGATGGAACTTGCACTTAGTGTTTTGACCATTTTAAGATGATTAATTCTCCCTATCCATGAACATGGTAAATCTTTCCATCATCCATTGTCTTCATCAATCTCTCTTTGTGTGTTTTATCATTTTCATCTTAGAGTCAGGTTTATTGGAAGGTACTTGTTTGGGCAGCAGCCTTTATCAGTTGAGTTCCTGCTTTCTTTCTACATATTAGCCTTCTGTATAAAAGTTAGCCATACTTTGTTATTGATTTTTATTCTGCTTCTTTGCTGAATTTATTTATCAGTTATTATAGCCTTTCAGTGGGATGTTTATATCCACTTATTTCCATCTCTCGCCTTTTGGATCTGACTAAAATTTTAAGCACTGTATTTATTGAGTAGAGAGGGCATTTTTGTGTTATAAATGATTTTAAAGGAAATATCTTCAGTTTTTCTCTATTCGGTATAGATAGCCTTTATTGGGTTGAAATATGATTGTTCTACACTTAATTGATTCAGAGATTTTATCATACAGGGACATTGAATTATGTGAAATGCCTTTTCTATACATGGTTATGTCCTTAATTCTATTTGTGTACGGGATCACAATTGTTGATTTGTGTATGTGGGACTATGCTATATCCTTAGAAGAAAATCTACATGATCATGGTAGAGGATCATTGTAATGTCTTGTTGGGTATAATTTATAGATATTTTGGTGAGGAGTTTTGGGTCTATGTTCAAGACAGATTTGTCTATAGTTTTCCTTGTCATGTCATTATCAAGCTTTGATATCAGAGTAATGCTTGCTTTGTAGAATAGTTTGTGAAGTATTGGTATTAAATTTTGAAAAGTCTGGTAAAATTTTTTTTAAGTCTGGTAAAATTAAGTTGTGAATCTATCCATTTAGTCCCATGCTTTCATTTGTTGAGACATTTTGTTTCAGCTATAATCTTGTTAGTTATTGTTGATCTCCTAAGGGTTCAAAACGAGAAAACAATAAAGGTTATTTAGTTGAGACCTCTTTGTTTTAAAGGTAGGCACTCTTAATTATGACCTTTCTTTTTAGAACTGTTTTCACTATAGTTCACAGGTTGTGGGATGTCATGTTCCATTTTTATTTTTACAGATTTTTTTAAATTGTTCTCTAATTAATTCAATGATCTATCATTAGTTCAAAACTGCTTTGTTGAAAAACTCTGTGTGTTTATATAGTTTCTATAGCTCATCTTGCCGTTGCTTTCTAGTTTTGTTATTAATTTTATGTCCAAAAGCAAAGTTATTTCAACATTTTATATTCATGAAGACCTGCTTATTATGTAAAAGTTATTTTTTTTGCATTTTTCCCTCTTTTGTGAAAATACCGTACAGAGGGGTTACAATTACATAAGCAAGGTAATGAGTGCATTTCTTATCAAGCATTGTTGCCTCCTCCTTTGTTTCCCCTTCCCATCCCTTCCCTTCTTCCCCCCCCCCCCCCCCCGGCTCCGTCTTGCCCTGTAAAAGTTATTTTCTATTTTTGAAAAACTTCTATGTGTTGATGTAAAGGAAGTGTATGTTAAATATTCTGAAAATATCTATTAAGCTCATTGAATAGGGTGTAATTTAACTCGTTTCATAGTTGATTGTTGGTCTGCATGATCTAATCCAAGCAGCCAATCTGTCTTTTGATTTGATAATTAATTTTAAGAGAAATAATGAGAAATTTCCTTAGAAGGAAAGTATTTTTAATATATCATTTTTCTTATATTTCCTGACTCTTTGCTATTCAAATTTCTATTGGAGAAGTAATAAGTTCACTCAGTCGCTGCTCTCTATTTCAGACAGTGTACATTTTATTTTATGTCTGTTGTTTGGCTGTGGGGGACGTAGGACATATTGGACAGTATAAACCATTGCACTATGGATACTGGGTCCAGGGAACATTGTCTTCTTACAGACAACCTGGTGCCTTGTGAGAGGAGAAAGTTTTTCACTAAGCTCAGCAAAGCCTAAGGGTGAGATAGGCTGTACTTTGCATTGCAGATGTCATGCTGCTTATCCCCATGAAAGCTGTGCTACAGAGAATGCTCCTCCTTGATTTAATTATCTCATTTGCTCACCACTGA